GGAGGGGAGTGTGTGTGTGAGAGCATCTCCAAGAAGATCGCACATATGACACAGACATCAGGATTCTACAGAAATGCAAGAAATCACAAAAGATCCCAAAAAGGCTACAGACCATGAACCCACTCAAGTCAACCTACAACACAGATTATGCTGAGAGACTTTGCCATCGCACCTCTCGCAAACTCCTCAATCATCTCGTACACCAACTCTACAGCAGGTAGCATAACCCTGAAATCTAATTGGAGTCCATATTCTCAGCTTGTGCTCAAGATACAGCAGCACAGTTACAAGACACTGCCAAGCAGATGAGGCAATGGAACTACTCCACCTACTTGCACACCAAGAATAAGAAAATGAAACTTGGCATCACCACCAGTAATAACCAAATCTCCCCTAGTACCACAGTTGAAAGCGGCACCACAGCGGGAAGATCCATTTTCGACTTATCTGACCACACCCTTCAACCGACGAGATCGAAGTTTTCAGCCGAGGACTCAATTTCTGCCCCACCATCAAAATGGACGCCATTGGTCTCGCGGCAAACACAGAGGAACTCATCAGACAAATGAGACTCCGGGAATTCTTTCAAGATGTCAGCAGTGAGCCCAATGACACAACCAACGGACCGGATCAGTTAACAGAGAGATCCATGGGGGATCCGGCAAAGAAGAAGTCGAATTGGACCCCTCCAGAGTGCCATTGCCCGGGTGTTGATGGGTATGCTCAAGCCATCAGAGAGTCCGTGAATGCCAGATTCATCAGCCGCACTGACAAGGTAGTGCAAAACGTTACCCAGATACAACGCAATGACATTCATGCTGTCAAGACCAATTGCAACATTGTGATCAAACCAGCAGACAAAGGAGGAGCCAACGTCATACAGAATAAAATGTACTACTGCAAAGAAGTATACCGACAACTGAACAACCAGGAACACTACAGACAACTACCTGCCCGTCTGACCAAAGAACATACCCATCAATTGAACAGACTGGTCAAGATTTTTAATCCAGCCCTTCAGAGTACCCTACACACTGTCATCCTGCATAGGGGATTTCTACTGCCTTCCAAAGATACACAAAACCGACACACCTGGACGTCCCATCATATCAGGCAATGGGATCCTGTGTGAGAACCTCTCTGGCTATGTCAAGGGCATCTTGAAACCCATTGTTTCTGTTGCAACACTACAGATTTCTTACAGAAACTCAGCACCCACAGACCAGTCGAACGAGAAACGTTCCTCGTCACAATGGATGTTTCAACACTCTACACCAGCATCCCCCACTGTGATAGCATTGCTGCAACAGCCTCAGTACTCAATACCACCAACTGCCAATTTCCAGACACCATCCTTCAACACATCCACTTCATCCACAACCACAACGTCTTCACCTACGACAACTGGCTCTTCATCCAGACACACGGAATAACCATGGGGACCAGATTTGCATCCCAATATACCAACATTTTCATGCACAAGTTTGAACAAAACTTCTTTGCTGCACAGGACCTCCAACCAATGCTATATATCAGATACATTGACGACATCATCTTCCTTTGGACTCATGGCGAGGAATCACTGAAACAACTACATAGCGATATCAGCAAGTTTCATTCCACCATCAGACTTACCATGGACTACTCTTCAGAATCAGTCTCATTCTTGGACACATGCATCTGCACAAAGGACAGACACCTCAGTACACCACTCTATCGCAAGTCCACGGATAACTTCACGATGCTGCACTTCTCTGGCTTCCACCCTAAGCATTTTAAAATAGCCATCCCCTACAGACAAGCCCTACGCACACACAGGATCTGCTCGGATGAGGAGGAGTGCGATGGACACCTGAAGATGTTGAAGGACACCCTCATAGGAACAGGATACGATGCTCAACTCATCGATCGACAGTTCCGACGTGCCAAAGCGAAAAACTGTAATGACCTCCTCAGAAGACAGACACAGGATATGCCTGTTAGGCTCCCTTTCATCATCCAGTACTTCCCAAGAGCGGAGAATCTACGCCATGCTCTTCGCAGCCTTCAACACATTATCAGTGACAATGAGCACCTCACCAAGATCTTCCCCATGCCTCCACTTCTCACCTTCGAATAACCGCCAACTACCTGGCCTTCAGGATAACATCGATCACAACATCACACAACCCTGCCCAGGCAACCTCTGCAAGACATGTCAGATCTTCAACATGGACACTACCATCATATATGGGAACACCACCCACCACTTGCATGGCAGATACTCATGTGACTCGGTCAACGTCGTCTATCTCATACGCTGCAGGCAAGGATGCCCTGAGACATGGCATATTTGCGAAACCATGCAGACACTATGACAACGGATGAATGGACACCGCACAATAATCGCCAAACAGGGATGTATCCGCCCAGTAGGGGAACACTTCAGTGGTCGAGGACATTTGGCCTCGGATCTTTGGGTAAACGACCTCCAAGGCAGACTTTGGGATACACAACAATGGTAGCCAAGTTGACAGCCAAGTTTGGTTCCCATGAGGACAGCCTCAACCGGGATCTTGGGTTCATGTCGCACTACAGGTGACCCCACCACACACTCACTCTCTCTCTCTCACTCACACACACACACACACACACACACACACACACACACACGGACACACACACGGACACACTCACTCTCTCTCTCTCCCCCTCACACGTACGCGCACGCACACACACATACACAAACACTCTCTCTGTCTCCCTCACACACATACACAAACACACGCATGCACACACAAATGCTCTCTCTCCCTCACACACATATACAAACATACACACACACACACACACACGGACACACTCACTCTCTCTCTCTCCCCCTCACACGTACGCGCACGCACACACACACATACACAAACTCTCTCTGTCTCCCTCACACACATACACAAACACACGCATGCACACACAAATGCTCTCTCTCCCTCACACACATATACAAACACACACACATACGCACACACACACACACACACAAACACTCTCTCCCTCACACACATATACAAACACACACACACACACACACACACGGACACACTCACTCTCTCTCTCTCCCCCTCACACGTACGTGCACGCACACACACACATACACAAACTCTCTCTGTCTCCCTCACACACATACACAAACACACGCATGCACACACAAATGCTCTCTCTCCCTCACACACATATACAAACACACACACATACACACACACACACACACACACACAAACACTCTCTCCCTCACACACATATACAAACACACACACATACACACACACACACATACACGTAAATCTATTGGTGAATTTGTTTTTGCAGATACATTCTATTTTCAAAAAGCACATAATTTATAAACAGTCAGTGAGTGTGGCATTTTATAAATTCCTACTTTAGAAATAAAACCAGTCTGGCTCCAAACCGAAACACAAACTGTTTCTAAACAAGGCCTCACATCTAACAGGCATTGTCTGATCTAAAATATCACCCCTTCTTTACCTTTAGTTGTCTCAGGACAGTGACTTGAAAGAAATTTGGGGATTTACATATACATATTAATCAATTAAAACCTTCTAAATGATTAAAGATTTAACAGCATCTTAAATTTGTTTAATACATCCTCATCAGTTGTGTGACTCTTTGATCTTTTATTTATAAATTCTGTGTCTGATACCACCTCTCTCACTAACACCTGAAGAAGGAGCTAGGCTCCGAAAGTTTGTGTTTTCAAATAAACCCATTGGGCTATAACCTGGTGTCTTGTGATTTCTGACTTTGAACAAATGAACCTTCCTTTTAAAAACTGCTTGCCTTTGTATCAAAATCTTAGGGATGGGACAACTGATATTACCCGCACATTACACTGGGGAACCCCAACCGATTTTCAGAAGGTATGTAAGTTTGCGAGTCTGTCTCAGTAAGCATTTCATTGTGCAGATTTATGTTGATCTTCCAGGCTGGATCCGGAAATTAAACTATTTACTGCTGAGTTTTCCAGTGGCCCAGTTTTTGAGTACACTACAAAATGTAAAGCTAATCATACAGAGTAAGAATGCTCTGACTGCATTTCTCAAACTGTAATTGAGGAAGTTAATCCCAACAATCGATATGTAGGAGCTGGTTACAATAGCTCTAGTATACAGATAGAAAATTGGACAAGCTTCTGCCATTCCTGATCACCACCTAACTAGATTCCCACAATGTAGCCCTGAAAATATGCCGAACGACCAGTGTAGGATTTTACATTGATCTCCCAGTGAAAGGCTGGACCTGTTTTAAAACAAAATGTTGCTCTTACTGAATGAGACTGCTGGGAGCACTGCATAAGAGGAATAGATTACCCAATGACTTAACCTGACCCTAGACATTTATGTTGGTCTTCCCAGTCTCTTTACAGGTGGAATAGCTCAAATACAGTTTTACCTCACCATTGCCATCTAAAGCACAGGACTTCTAGCAGAATACTTAAAATTTGGCAGAATCAGTTGTAGAAAAGTCAGGGATGGATATATTGACACTTATATCCTGGTGAACCACCTCTCAGGATTCACTAATTCCCCAAATAAACTCTTCCACAATTTTAAAAACAGCTTTTTTTAATGCTCCTGTTCACTGGTGAATACATGCTTAGGTATTTTAAATTTATAATTCAAATACTAGAACAGACTTTACAAAATTCTGCTCCTGGTTAACAGTTTTGCACATCTATGGCACACACCAGGAGTCTGTGGCATTTCCTTCACATTCTTTATTCCTGATATCACCCTGTAATTTCCATAGCTCTAACGCCTCTCCTATAATTGGATGCTGAAAACCACCTCCAGCCCTCCTACTGCATCTTAGCCAAAGTCAGGCACTAATTTGTTGTTGTCTTTTTTGATTTTGTATTGTGTTTTGTATATAAGCTAGAATGTCATTTTCTCCATAATTGATTTTTTATTGCCTTCATTCCTTTAATCCTTCCTTTAAAAAAACCATGCAGCAGTCGGTTTCTGTTTCTCCATTTATTTGAAGCTGTTTTGTTTGTATCTTCTCTTAAATTTTGATTTAAAAAAAATCATTATGTTACTGTGAATTGTGATAATCTTTCACAACTTGCAAAAAGTTCTAAAGTTTTATTCGAATATTCTCATAGGAAGAACTATTCAAAATTACTTTTTGGTCTGTTCTGAAATTGTGCCAAATATCTCGATCAGTTGCATTTAATTAAAACACAGATTTCCTCAAATGACATAGTTAAAAGCTGACTCTCACACGGAATGATCCTATCCTTCATCAAGTGGTTTCTTTTTGCATACTCATCAGGAAGCTTACACTCGAGTGCTGATGGGAAACATTGACCTGGCTCGATCAGTCTTCCCCGCAAACACAATTGGTAAGTCAGCAAGAGAATGAATAAGGCCAATTTTCTGAATGTATGCGATCATCTGGGAGTCTTGCCTGCTGTAAATTTGAGGTAGTTAAGCTCACTGCCCAAAACATTTCAATCACACTTATGCTGCAAGCCTGCAGTATAAGATTGGGCCTGTAAATTGGCCACAAATAGTGCCACCATTTTTCCTGGTAAGAATTGTAAATACTTACAGCACGTGAAGAAACTATAAGCCACGGTGTGCACACAGCTAACAATTAGCCATTTAATTTAATCCCATTTTCCATCTTTTCATCCATGACTCTGTGTAGCACTAATGGGGGTTTTGTTGTATGTTAGACCTTCATAACTGCTCATCATGTTGGACTTTTGGTCATCATCCTCCTTCTAGATCGGGGTCCACACGGCTGATTTATGCAGCCCAAGAGCAGAACATCAATAGGTGATCAAATGAGAAGAGGCACTTAAACGAATTGTAGTTTATTGCATGAATGCAATCAGATACAAGATACATCAGTATGACAGACATTGTTTCTCAGACTGTAGATCTTGTAGATACTTTACAGTGCTGCCACTGACTGTGAGGAGTCCCAGAAGGCAGGTCTGTCTTCAAAATTAGCTGTTCTAACCATGCAAGTTCTATGACATCATCATATTGGATAAATTTTAATGTACTCCTCACCATCAACCTTTTCAGAATCAAAAACATTATACAAGAGGCTTCTGTCTGTTGCCTCACATTGTCGTAGACTAATTCACCTGTTTGAAATATTTAGAAGGGGGAAGAGTTAAGGAAAGGGGATACATAGACTTATGAAGCAGAAGGATATAGAGGCATTGCAGGGCACCTATTCTGATAATGATACCCAGAGTGCAACAGGAAGGGACAATGCGCAAAAAGACAAAATTAATGGCTCTTAACCTTAATGCACTTCGTATCTGGGGAAAAAGTGAGTTAACAGCACAAATAATAGGTATGATCTTATAGCTATTACAGAGACATGTTTTCAAGGAGATCAAAGCTGATGTACAGTCCATATGGCTAGAGGGAAGAAGACATTGGTGGGAGTAGTCTGTGGGCCCCTGAACTGTAGTTTTCTGTAGGACAGAGAATAAATCAGGAGATAATAAAGGCACATAAAAAAAATACTATCTCGATCATGGGTGAGGTTATTTTTAATACAGGTTGGGAAAATCAAATTGATATAGGTAGCCACAAGAAAGAATTCATTGACTTAATTTGGGACAGTTTCTTAGAACAATAAGTTGTGGATCCTACCAGTGATCAAGTTATATTGATTTTAGTAATATGTAATAAGGCAGGTTTAATAAATAATATCAGGGTGAGGGGTCACCCATTTAAAACAGATGAGGTGGAATTTCTTTTCTCTGAGAATAATGAATCTGTCAAATTCTTTACCATAGAGGGCCATCAAGGCTGGGTCGTTAAGTATATTGGGTTAGTCTAGAAGCAATTTCAGCCTATTTTGTTTTAATTTTACTTTAGGATCTATTGCACTACTTGTGGAATAATTACTAAACAGAAGGGCTACTATGTACTGGTCATTGGCACACGGGATTTTTTTGTTGAGGATCTCATTTATGATTAATAGCTTCCTTGAAGTGTGCTGTCTCAAACTCATTGTTAAGCAACACCATATTTCCTGTTTCTTCTTTAACATTTAGTTTTGGGGAACATTTTCTGAGTTTCAAGTGAGCCTCTGCTCGTCTGTTGTGTCATTTCCACTTCACCATATAGGTTTTATTTCATTTGATGTACTAATCCATGCAACAGAATAGTTTACAAACAGGCCATTGAGTTTGGGGTCTTTCTCTCTTTACTCAATTTTTTCATTTAACCAGTGAATCTGGTTAAATATGCTCTATTCTGCAGAAAGTGCTAGCCCTTTTTGCATATCACTCAAGTGGTCATTATGTTTTGGATGACTCACACTAATGACTGATTCCAGCTGATTTTATCATCAGACGATAAAACGATCTCCAGGCAGCATCTGCAGGCACGCAGCAGAAATTGTTTGGAAATAATTGAGAGATAAAGTTCACAACTGATATTATCCTCATCAACCAAAGGACACTAAGGTTAACCGTAACACCTTTCATCATCTAACTGAAATCGCATAACTGATTGATAATCAAATCTGGTAGTTTATTGCTCTCTCTGCTCCTTCTAACATAGTGTATAAAGTCATCTCTTGGCTAAGCTTTAGTTCACCTAACCTCCTGTCTCCTTATGCCACTGAATGCCAAGCTTAATTTGATTATGCTCCTATGGAGCAACTGGGAATGGTTAT